GTTGATGCTTACTATATAAGTTGTTTGAATATTGGTTAATCTGAACTCTAGATATTAATATTTGAAAATCTGAAGCGGGCCCAAGATGGCTGCTGTCTCTGTCAACTCCGCCATTTCGCGAGTAGGGATTTATGGAGGCAGCTGAGCGTTTGATTAAACCATTCTGACATAAGGATACATGAAATGTAAAAAACTACTTGGATTTCACGTAGTAATATGTTGCAATTCAGTGTCAATCTTAAAACTTAATTTCCGTTTCACTGCTTCACTGAAACTGGGCTATATACGATATGTAATGTGTACAATGTGTTAAATATACTTTCTTAACGTCGAAATAAAATAAAGGGACAATAACATTTTGTTTATTTAATTTCATTGAAGCTATCACACCTATTTAATAGATCAGTCCAAAATTTTTATCTGGTGCCAAGATCCCAAGAGAATGCGCGAATATTTACTCATGGCGTTTGGCGCGAAATTATGAAAAGTGGCCCGCCTTTTATAATTCTTAGACAGGTGTACTGTTGCAAAAGTATACACAAGTATGTTTAGAGCAGGTCTCCCAATAGCTTAATAGTTCGCGTGTTGGGGATAATTATCATAGAGAAAAAAACGCATTCACATTGGCGACCTGGATTCAATCCTCCTTGTGACAAAAATTTTAAAAACACTTTTCAGCTCGATTTTATAAGGGTTTTTTTTCCTGAATCGGACGGAAGACCTCTCGTTGCTCGCAACGAGATCGTATCTAGTTATTATTAGGTCTTTCCACCTTTCTGTGGAAAGACCTATTGATTTGCTTATGTTTATTATTATTCCTATTATTTTTCTTCCGCTGATTTATTGTTTTGACATTTATCGAAAAGACTTTTTGTTCATCGTAAAGGTCATTAAAAGTTATGAACAAATTTGACCCAACGCTTATGAACTATGACCGCTTTCAAAGTTATTGCCCCTTTCGCAAGAAATGCTTGTTATCACTACTCCTTCGAAACCGTAAACCGTAGAAATATGAAACCTTCACTAAAGTCTTTGACTAATTGAGAGGACTCTGGAATCTATTCATTGCAAAAGTAATCGGTGACCCCTTCAATGAGTTATTGCCCCTGAAACTTTTTAAATTTTAGATATAATTAAAAATTTTCAAAACGAGAAGTGATAGAGACATGGGACCAATTGCATAAGATTCATTGACCTTTGATCATAAAATTAATGCAGAGGTCAAAGGTCAAGGTCACTCCAAATTTGAGAAATTAAGCTCTTTTTATATCTCTTTTGTCTTTTTAACATATACAAACTGTATTAGCATCATTAATATGTACTCTAAAAACTATTTTAATGATTTAATTCGTATTCCTTAAGATTGACCCTATTAAAAGTTATCGCCCTTCTTGCGAAAAACCTTGTTATCGCTACTTCTTCGAAACCGTAAACCATAGAAATATGAAACCTTCACTAAAGTCTTCGACTAATTGAGAGGACTCTGGAATCTTCCATTGCGAAAGTATTCGGTGACCCCTTCAATGAGTTATTGCCCCTGAAACTTTTTTAATTTTAAAAATAAAAAAAAAATTTCAAAACGGGAAGTGATAGATACATGGGACCAACTGCAAAAGATTCACTGACCTTTGATCATGAAATTTATGCAAAGGTCAAAGGTCAAGGTCATTCAAAATTTGAGAAATTACGCTCTTTTTATATCTCTTTTGTCTTTAAACATATACTTAATGTCTTTGCACCAATAATATGTACTGTTAAAACTATTTTAGATATTTCATTTTTGTTCCCTAACATTAACCCTTTTAAAAGTTATTGCCCCTTGTGCGAAAAACCTTGTAATCGCTACTTCTCGGAAACTGTAGACCGTAGAGACACCAAACCTTCACTAATGTCTTTAGGATCTTGAGGCATAACTTCACTGTATAAGTGCGAAAGGATCTGATGACCCCTTATATGAGTTATAGCCCTTTAACGTCTTTGTACTTACTATTTAACCTTATATTTTATAACTTAAAAACTATAAGTCGTAGAAGCATGGGGTCAATTGCATTGTGACCCTTGAGCTTTGACCTTGAACATTTTCTCAAGGTCAAAGGTCAAGGTCATTTCAAATTTTTTTTATTTTCATTTTTTTCTATCCTTTAAGACAATTTTGATTTCTTATTCATGGAATTTAGTTTTAAGTAGTCAGATATAAAACAAAATTAAAATTCAAAGAAGGTGGAAAGACCTCTTATTGTTCTGTGAACAATAAGTCTCCTAGTTATTATTCTTTTTATTATTTTTTTGACTTTCTAATTTTGTGCACGCGATTTCTCGAAGACTACTGGAAGGAATGACGAGAAATTTTCAGAACTGATGTGTAGTAACATGAATTTTATATATCCGGGAGATTTTTTTGAAATTCGCTTCCGGTGCCAAGTTATGGACAATTTCCTGAAATTAAAATGACATTTTGTCCGCGATTAAACTCAAAAACGGTAAAAGATATCAGCATGAAACTTTCAGGGATTATAGATCGTGATATATACTATCCAGGACGCGACTTTTTGTTCGTCGTCGGTACTTCCTGTCGTTAGGAGAAATGAATTGAAAAAATCGCATTTTCTAACTTTTTTGTTTTTCAATATTTTTTATTTATTTTTGGAATGATAATAGAGACCCTTTGATTGATGCTTACTATATAAGTTGTTTGGATATTGGTTAGTCTGAATTCTAGATATTAACATTTGAAAATCTGAAGCGGGACCAAAATGGCGGATGTCTCTGTCAACTCCGCCATTTCGCGAGTAGGGGTTTATGGAGGCAGCTGAGCGTTTGATTAAACGATTCTGATATAAGGATACATGAAATGTAAAACACTACTTCGACTCTCACGTAGTAGTGAAATGGTTGGAGGAGTTACCTCCCGTTACTTGTTTATATTATAATAGATAATCAATGTAAATATTGTAATTAATTGGTCAATTGACAGAAGAATTATACAAGTATTATTGATAAATGATGTTCTGTTAGAAAATAATAATAGTGTTGCCAAAAGAAAGGCAGTCTGTTGTATTTTATCAATATGATATCTGATAACTTATGATCATTGATTAAGTTGAGGTACAAAGGGGCAGTACAGCCAATTGGCTTGTGTCTTCACTTTGGTACAGAAACCAATTAGTGTATCGATCAAATCGAATTGTGCAAAGTTGCCGTAGTCAGTAACTAGTTAAAATATAGCTGTGTGACGTTAGCTATAGGTTTGCCATTAGGACAGAGAAGCTCTTACATGTACAAAGTTAAATACTGTGTAAGTATATTTTAGCTACTTGGCTAGAGTTATATAGGCAACTTGGTAAGCAGTAAGACACCAGGCAGGTGTTAAAGGCTAAATCAAGAGGCACCAGGCAGGTGGCTGTTGACTTATATAGTCAGTTGTATAGTGAGGCAATTGTCATATGGCACCAGGCAGGTGCCGGTATTAACTGAAGATATATAATTGTACAAAGCACTTAGGTCATTTTGATTTAAAGACACCAGGCAGGTGTCATATTGTTATCTGTATATATTGTATTCAATCATATCCCCAGTAAAACTCGGTAATCCGAGCACGGGCCTACTGACCGCTCAGGTCCGACACGTTACAGTAGTAAGTTGCAACTGAGTGTCAATCTTAAAACTTTATTTCCGTTTCACTGCTTTAGTGTAACTGGGCTAGATACAATATGTAATGTGTATAATGTGTTACATATACTTTCTTAACGTCGAAATAAAATAAAGGCGCTAAGAATGTTTAATTTTTAAAATTTAATTGAAGCTATCATACCTATTTAATAGATCAGTCCAAAGAAAAGGCGTGAAATATTTACTCGTGGCGTTTGGCGCGAAATTATGAATGCTTTTTTACAATTCTTAGACAGGTGAACTGTTGCAAAAGTATACACAAGTATGTTTAGAGCAGTACTCCCAATAGCTTAATGGTTAGCGCGTTGGGGATAAAAAAGTAAAAAAAAAAAAAAAAAAAGCGCATTCACGTTGGCGACATGGGTTCAATCCTCCTTGTGACAAAAATTTTGAATCTCTTTTCAGCTCGATTTTACGTGGGTTTCTTTTCCTAAAACGGACGGAAGACCTCTCGTTGCTCGCAACGAGATCGTATCTAGTTATTCATATATTTAATATTTTATTAATATTTTAATTTCCATTAAACCTTTGTAAACTGGATCCATGTATAATTTGGTCCACAAGACTACGTGGGTTAGGTCCAGCATGTAAAACAGCTCCAAAAAGAGAACTCGTAATTCTTCCTTTGTGGAGTTCGGTCCAAAGGGAACATTTTCTTTGACCTTTAGTTCTTTCTTCAACATAGGCGCTCAAATTTTCGTCAATTGAAATTGGGATTGGCACTGTAATGATATGTATATGAATGAATCTGATGTTCATGATGCATAAAGATATTTTCCTATATACAGTGTAATTCCTATTTTTTCTTACAGTTCTCATTTGACAAGATCAATGCTTAGGAAGCCATTTCCAATGGATCCTCATATGTCTCAACCTCAATCTCCCTCTCAGCTACAGGGGCATCATCTGGGATGTTCCACAAATGGCTCATACCTGAATTTTCATTTTGTTCAATAACATGAGAATCATAGAAATTAAAAGTCTTAAGTATGTTTGTATCACGTTTTAGGTAAATTGTTTCGGCATTTAAAAATTTGTTTTCTCACATTTTCCTTCTCAAACCTAGCTGTACCTGTACTTGGGAAAATATCCTTTAAATTTCTCAGTTGAAGCAATGTAGCATTTATGTCGAAGTCTCTGTCTGTGGTATGGCGAGGGTCAAATGAAGTATCCTCTATATCACTGGTTTCAGTGTCCATTTTATCTGCTTTTGACCTCAAGGTTTCTAATGGACCTGTTTATATTCGTTTTATGTGTTACTTGCCAGTTAAAGAGCTTCAAAGTTCATATGTTTTTTTTGTTATCTGTTAACAATCTGACTATAAAAAAATTTACTTACCAGTGGGTTTTTTAGATCTTCCTTTGGGTACTACCCATTTGCAGGGCTTACTCGTGCAGCTTTCCTGGGGCTTGATATGACTCAGTGCAAAGAGTAAACTCCCAATGTGGCTACAGCTCTGGCCTAGCCTATTTTAAAAATATCATAGATTTTAGATCAAGTTATAATCAATGGAGTAAAAAAAATTGTGTGCATATAACTCTGAAAATATGCATACCCCACAGGACACTGACAATATCCATGATGTATGTTAGTCACAGACTGTCCATTCCTAGACAAACATAAGTAAACCTGGTATTGGTGCTTCTTCATCGAAGCCTGGCACTTGGCGCTGATGTATATAATATTAGTATTTATCTAAAAATCAAATAGAGAGTATTTTAAACATACCAGTTTATTAATAGTGTAACAATAACACAATTTATTAATTCTAACATTTACAAATATGAAAATGAACATAAATACAAATGTGCACTTATCACTTAAAAGGAGTACTGGATTTAGATCTATGTCTTTAACAGAACAAAAACATTGTTTGTATTGTTTGTTTACCTCTGACACGCTAATATCCTGGACATGGCCAGCTTCAAAATGTTTCACTGCTCTGTCCAACCCCTTAAAATTGTTCACACTACCTCCTGTCGATTTGGGTCTCAGAATCATGAAGTTATATATATCAGAAAATGAAATGGTTGGAATCTGTGACTGGTCCTGTATCTTGTAATGTACAGCGTTATAAGGTGGCAAATTCTCGTTTTCTCCTGTTGCTGGTGAGATACATTCTGCTAGGACTTCTTTAGACTTGGTCACTGGTGTTAAGTCGATCAATGGCACTTGGCTAGTCAAAATTTCTCTAATTAGATCTTCTTTTTTCTTCTTCTTAATTTCTATTCCTTGATCGTGAGCTATTTCTTTCAGCGAATTTACCCTTAATTTGTTCAAATTTTCGCGCTTTGACATTATTGTTGACTGTGTTGCTAAGCCTAATGTCAATATCACAGGAATGCGGATGTTGCCGTCCGGAAGCGTTTATGCGCATGTGCGAGAATTATCGCGAAAAGGTTTATTCTGATTTAATGACGTCAGCTCCTTCGCTTATATTACGTCACAATCATGAAAAAAATCCGCGTAATGACAAATTTTACGGGAAAAGGATAATGTGAACGAGTAAGAAAAATATGAACGTTTTAAACAAATTAACAATAAGCAGATATATATATTTTTTAATTAACGCTATTAAGATTAATTCTTATAAATATCTCATTTGGAAAAAATTAGGTAGTATATAGCATTGTATAGAAAAATAAAAAGTATTTTAATTATAATTTCACTATTTTATGGAAACATTGTTAAGGAAAAGTTATGCAAATAAGCCACAGTCTTCGCTCAGCAAAGAAGTTTTATGACGAAATAAATGCATGTAAGTTTCTTTACAATCAATACGATCTGGGATACAAAAGATATTATACAGCAATGTCGGCAAAATTTATTTTTTTTTACCCTGAGACATCGGACATTCCGGTCCGGTGTAGAAAATGACGAATCGAACCAGATCTAGAGGCACTGCACATCGGTCAGGTCCGACTGTCCGATGTCTTCCGCATAGACGCGACTTCAGTCTGTCTTTACCACAATTGTAATCCTACACCATTCATTTTGGAATTCCGATGTATTTTCATATTATTTATTTATATTTCCGTTTTTGTGGCTGCTGTCTTTCATACAGTGTCAAAGTATACATTATAATGAGCTTAGAAACTTGTAGGGCCTCTATAAAAAAGCGATTTATCAAAACAACGCCGCTCTAAATTCAAAAGAGATAAATTAAATTCAACCCTCTGCAATATATTTTGCAAAGTAGGTCGAAAGTCAAGGTAAAGTGGACTGTAACCCTAGTATTTTTTAAAGTTTTATATGATAAACAGTGCACGTGTTAAATACTAATAACGTAAACTTACATCTTAAAACTTTCAATGAAATCCCCGTTACAGCAGTGTACTTCCTCAGTAATTATTTATTTCGGGCATATTTTAAAAATCAATACAATCGATAAAAAACTAGTAAGTTCCCGCTTTAATTGTATTTTTATATCTGTATAATTTATATAATTGGTATATATATTTTTTTTAAATTTCAAGCAGAAATATGGAAATTTCATATAAGTCTTCAAAGCCAGAAAGAAAGACGGAAGGTGTGTGCTGTTGAATCTGTCACATCATTACAGTCATCATGTAGATCTAATGTTCATGTTCACAAAGACACACGATGATGTACACGTCCGTTAGTAGTATAAGACGCCTGGATGGCGAGGTCAACTGAGTGCACTTTTGGGTCTGGGGGGATAGCCCGGTCAACTGAGTGCAGCCCCTGGGGGAGGATAGCCGGTTCAACTGAGTGCATCCCCTGGGGGGGATAGGTGGGTCAAGAGAGTGCAGCCCCTGGGGGATAGCCGGGTCGATTCAGTACATATAATCCCCCTAAATACGGGGGGGTGTTTACACTGTGTTTACATTATACACAATACGCTGCTGCTACTACGATTTTGGCAGCGACTTTTATACCTGTTGCATCATCTGTAGGGGCCCTGTACAAAAAATACGTTTAACCTACGTTTTTTTTATGCTGACTACACAGGTAAATAGTTGGCAGCGATTCAAGTTTGTTTAGGGCCGTGTGCAAAAAATATGCTTACCTATGCATTGTGACGTCATCCACTGTATAAATACGGCTTTTCTCTTACTTTCGGCTCATTCTACAGTCAGAGCCAGCTCCCTACCTGTGGTGGGTCATGGATTCTACTAGAGAAAAACAGTTACATGCTCAGCGATTATTAGAATGGAAAAGAAGGGCAAGAGAATTACATCAAATTCTTGATGAAAATAAAGAGCGAGAATTAGAGCTTAGGAAAAGAAATGCGGAAAGATTACAGAGAAGAGCTCAATTAGAACAACAACGACAACAACAACTACAATGACAACGACAATTACGGGAAAGAGAATTAGATCA